AATACGTGTAGTTAATGTGTGGGAACTCAAGACCACCATACTGTAACAGGTCATCATTGTAAAGATCTTCATGGAGCAGGAATACCTATTATTACCAAAGAGAAATTACTGTTATTGATGCTCATAAATACTATTGTTTTCAGTTCCCATCTCTCTCCACCTCTTGCTCACATACCACAGTTATAGTCTTCACAGCAGTGGCAGTGGTGTATGGGAAATTGATGAGGTTGTGGTCATTAGGCTCATCTTCCTTTATGTCCAGAGGCAGTACATATCGCCGTGGTAAGTTTGTTCACAATTAATTGAAGAACTGGAAAAGCCAATAGATAAACACTGTTAAAGTTAAATTTAAATGAAACTGAAAGAGAGGTCAGTATTATCGACATTTGACATGTTTTGGATTGTGAAGGTATTACCATGTCAATTTCTTCTCCAGATGCCCGAAGGTTCTCCATTGTGAAGTCAACAATCACATTGCCATCATCTCCACAGCACATGTCCATAATCAAATAGCCATTATCCTCATATGCATTAATCTGGTTCAGCGTGAACATGGCACTGCTGTAGTATTTTGTTTTGATGAGCTGCAGGGATGAAAACATGGATGTCAGAGGTGAAGCGACAGAAATACACAGTGCCCACAATTAGAAGTCAGTCAGTATGATGTTGGGACAGACTCTGCCGTGCCTGGCCAGTGCATCTGTCTGCCACATGGAAGATGGTTTCTAGTTCAGGGTTCCAGGACATGACTTTATGAAAGCTTTTTCCAGCAACTCTGTACAGCATGAATTTCAGCAGGTCTAACTTGATCGGCTGCTCAATGAAGACTATGTAATTCTCCGACATGACTGCAAACATAAGGTAAAAAATAAAATAAAATGAACGAACACTTTCAAATAAAAACAGAAATAATGCATTATTTTCCATTGGTGAAGATTACAATATACTGGAGAATCTACAATAGTGTGGCCCACATTTCCAACCATGTTAAATTCTATGTAAATAAATGCAAAATAATCCTTATAATATTACAGATGGATAAAGAACCAGAAGGGCAGATCAGATGATCTAAAAATGCAAACATGGCAGGCAAATTTACCAAAACTGTGGTAGTATGATGGTTTCCTGGGATCAGAAGCAGGAATAGAGCAAAGAATCTCTGCACCTGACAGATCAGCAGCATTGTTCTTTCCTTCACCTGCCGAAACTCAGAGGATATGGTAAAAGAAGCCTTTGAGAATCAGAATAGAAGGTGAAGTGTGGCCGTTCTATATTGATTTTCCCAAAAAGTGTGGCTCTGTGGTGCTTTTAAAACATTGGCTTAAGTGTTTCTGGGTGAGAACATGTGTTTGTTTGACCAGTGGCAGATGGGTGGAGTGCTTTGGTTTAGAACAGTCATTATTTTTGCAGTTCTGTTTGGTTTGAAAACATTAACAAAAAGAAGCCATTAGAGTTTGTTATATAAAAAGTACAAGTGAGGCATCCCACCTCTTCGGCCATATGAGTTTCCCAAGTTGTAAGTCGCTCCTTCACGGTCATGATGTGGATGAGCTGTTGCTGCATTAATTGCAATATTTTTTGAACAATCCACCTTTAAAAAACAAAATCACATAGAGATAACTGTTTTAGGAAAACATTGTGTGTTATATAATTTAATTTTTCGTCTGTGAAACACTCATATATACCTTTTCTTTGGTTTCCAGACTCACAGGGTCGATTCTGTGCATGAAGTTGGTCTCTGTGCTAGCTTAGGCTATAGGCAATGCATTTGGCTGATTAAAAAAATTAATATCTAAAACGGATTGTTGATTTTCATTGATATCTAATTATACAGTAGATCAGACAATAGATGGTGTAAACTTTAAGCTATCAGTTCAAATTTGCTAATTTTATTGTAGTTTGTGACAACAGAAGTTATGGCTTGACAAAATACTACGCTCACCCATGTGGCAAAACACACATGAACTAAGAGATGATTGCATAACACTGAGATGAGGCTATAGTAATAGAGCACAGAAATGCTTACCTGGCACTTTATACATTGAATCCTGTGTAGGTTTAGACATGACTTTGGTTGTTAAGATTCTTGATCTTAATAACATATGAAACACTAAACAAAAAAGGTAGAACAGACAGGCAATATGATACTGACAATATAAGACAGTCCCATAAACACATGACATTGTGGGATGGGCTAAATCTAAAGCAAAATGGACTTTGTACAGAGCCAAAGCAATACAGTGTGCCACTGAGAGTGAACACATTAAATACTTAACTGCTTCATTATTTAGTTAGAGAGATTGTTAATCTCTAAAATCAAGCTTTTCATGCGTCTTGATGACGTAAGATGAGAGATTATTTTTGTTTCATTTTATGAACATCACTGTTAAAAGTGACTGTAACGACAGTCTTTAATTCTTTTCTGCCATCTAAAGAGAGGCTTATATATAGTCATACATTTGTAGAATATTAATGTATTCCTTGTAAAACTTTATAAAACATCAACAACTATTTAACCTTTCTACATGTACAAATGTATATCTAATGTTTATAAGTTCAAAGTATTATAGTAATATTCTGAATGTGAACATTCTGACATTTAGGGAAAACAGACGGAAATGACAACATCATGAAAACATATAGGATTAAGTTACAGATTTACATTTGAGTTATTTTTACACAAGATATTTAATTTGAGATGACAAAAGCCTTAACCTCATCAGCAGCAGGGTTACACAACAACAGCATGACAATCTTATCCTCTCTTTGACAGACTTCGGGATACACTGTTATCTAGATGAGATTAAAGCATCTCCACGCAGGCTAATGAGTTTTCTGCAGGGCTTTTAGGGTGAACATACAAAACATTATCCTTTGAATAAGAAGAGCGCATCTAATGCAGTAGGTTCTGTGAGGTTGAATCCTGAGTTTGATGTTTAGAAGTAAACACTATAAGTACGCTTGTGTTCACTTTTTTTAATCCTCATGTCAAAGCGCAAACTATACATGACCAAACTGCTGTTTGGACAACAGATAAACTCAGTGTTTATATATTCAGGTGTCTTTGTTCAAAATAGATTTTCAGCTGTAATTAGCTGTGTACTACATCCAAATGTAAAAAAAACTTGTTGACAATGGTAATGTATTTAAGGACTAAAATGCTTGCTTTAATGCATTTTTACATTCAAATATTCAAAGGGAAAACATGCTCATTTTAGTTATATGATTCAACAGGGAGTTGTCATAAAACACAAGCTGGGGTCAAAATGTGTTTTTATGATATCATGACTTAATAGTGCAATATTCTTTGGCTGAATTTTCTGACCCCAAAATGCAAAAAGTTAATGCAGACATAGGTCACTCCTGATGTTAAACTCATTTCCCTGAGAACTTACCATCTGCTGACCTCATTCAAACTTGACCACAGGTTATACCTACTGTACATTCAAATGTAACATAGTTCACAGTGACTATGAGAAAAAAAAATCACTAACAACATATGTTATAACTTGATTCAAAATATGATTCATTTACACTACCGATAAAAAAAAGACATTTATAATGTTACAAAACATTTACATTTCATATAATTGCTGCTCTTTCAAACTTTCTATTTATAAAATAATCCTGACCAAATGTATCTTAGTTTCCACAAAAATATTAAGCAGCAGAACTGTTTTCAACACTGATAACAAGAAATGTTTCTTGAGCACCAAATCGGCATATTATAATGATTTCTGAAGGATCATGTGACTCTGAGGATGGCAGTAATTCCACCACAGGAATAAATGGCATTTTAAAATATATTAAAAGAGAACGCTTTAAATTTTAACAATATTTCACAATATTATTGTTTCTACTTTATTTGTGATCAAATAAGTGCAGCCTTGGTGAGCATAAATGTCTTTCTTTAAAAACATTAACTCTTACAAACCAAAACTCCTACCAACTCCAAACTACTGAACAGTAGTATATATTCTAGCTAGCTAGTTGTTATTTATTCAATTTTCTTACATCTTTATTAACCATTTAAAATTATATTTTCCATAAAATAAAAAAAGAAGAAGATGCAGTCGCCTTGAAAACCTGAAGTTGATCAAATTTCATAGCAAATATAAACTGAAAACCTGTTTTCTTTTTTATGTGAATGCTAAACTTTTAAGGACTGTATGTTCATATGTATAAATTATTTGAACTTAGTCAGTCTTAGTTAGAGGTTTGTGCATGAAGGCTGTGTGAATGGATTCAAGGAAAGCAGCTGCTCAAAAGGTGATAATGTTTTCCAGGCAAAACAGGTGGAACGCTTCATGCAGCACGTATTTCATAATTTTGTGTTGCCAGTGTGACATCACTAATAGAGAAGGTTTAAAAGTGGGCAAGTGTTCGGCAGCTGACCCCGAGTCAACATGTTCGCCCTCATCCTAGCATCAGTGCTCATCGCTAGCGGTAAGAAGTCTGCACACCTGAACAGAAGTGCTCAGGAGACTTATACTCAGTAGTCTGCAACATAATGAATACAGATATTGTAACCAAAACTCCTACCAACTCCAAACTACTGAACAGTAGTGTATATTCTAGCTAGCTAGTTGTTATTTATTCAATTTTCTTACATCTTTATTAACCATTTAAAATTATATTTTCCATAAAATAAAAAAAGAAGAAGATGCAGTCGCCTTGAAAACCTGAAGTTGATCAAATTTCATAGCAAATATAAACTGAAAACCTGTTTCCCTTCAAAGGATGATTTCTTTTTTATGTGAATGCTAAACTTTTAAGGACTGTATGTTCATATGTATAAATTATTTGAACTTAGTCAGTCTTAGTTAGAGGTTTGTGCATGAAGGCTGTGTGAATGGATTCAAGGAAAGCAGCTGCTCAAAAGGTGATAATGTTTTCCAGGCAAAACAGGTGGAACGCTTCATGCAGCACGTATTTCATAATTTTGTGTTGCCAGTGTGACATCACTAATAGAGAAGGTTTAAAAGTGGGCAAGTGTTCGGCAGCTGACCCCGAGTCAACATGTTCGCCCTCATCCTAGCATCAGTGCTCATCGCTAGCGGTAAGAAGTCTGCACACCTGAACAGAAGTGCTCAGGAGACTTATACTCAGTAGTCTGCAACATAATGAATACAGATATTGTTCTTATTCTGAATTTCTACTGCAGCCTTTGGGTGTGGAAAACCACCCATTGAGCCTCTCAGCTCTCGTGTGGTCAATGGAGAGGAGGCCAGGCCCCACAGCTGGCCCTGGCAGGTAAGTAATGTAGCACCATTTTGTCTGCCTTTATTTCTCATTCCCTCTTGTTACCTCTGTCTCACTAATAGTCACCCTTTCTGCTACAGTTTTACTTTACACATTTTGTCATTACATCCTCTCCCTCTCTTCATTACATTTATGCCATTGGCAAACACTTATCATTCAAGGTTTGTATTTCATGAGTTCATGCATTCCCTGGGAATCAAACCCATGATCAAGGTGTTGCTAGTGCAATGCTCTACTGTTTGAGCAGTCTCTAAATTGAGCATGTATTTGTATGTTTAATTAGCTTTTCATGTTTCCCATGATTAGATCTCTCTGCAGTATCAGAGCGGTAGCTCGTGGTATCACACTTGTGGAGGATCTATCATTGCTGAAAACTGGGTGATGACTGCTGCTCACTGCATCAGGTATAAGTGTCCAGTATATTAGTTGAATATATTGTTCATATGTCAAATGAACATATCATTTTCAATTGTGTTCAATGTTGTGAATTTGAGGACATCAATAGATTTCAACTGGACTTTAATCTTTAACCATCATGCATTTTCTCTCCTGTAGTTCTGGGCGCAACTACATGGTGCATGTTGGTAAACATGACCTGTCAGTATCTGAGGACGGCTCAAAGACCATCAGTGCACAGAAGATCATTGTGCATGAGAAATGGAACTCCTTGTTTGTGGCTCTCGGGTAAGTATTGTACTTAGTAGATCTTTACATAAATTGTGTCATATTTCATTTTAAATATAACTAACACTTAATAGGAATGAAAACATGTCTTGTCAATATACATTGATTAAATTCATATATTTAAAATTTTCTGAAATAAGTAATTAGGCTATAATGGCATTCTGTGGTCAATTATTTTTTATAAGGCCCACTATACTGTAAAATTGTCCAATTTCTATACAGTCAATTTTTACAGACCGATTACTGTAAAACTGACTATTGACAGGCAACCCGTTTCCATAATAAAATCTTTTTTTTCCACCAATGTTTTAACATAAATGTTGGCACAACCATTTTTAACTTGAATGTTCAAAGCTTTCACAGTGTCAGTTGTTTCCAGTTATTTTAGCTGGACAATTTTTCATTTATTATAATAATCATAAACACAATGGTTTGTTGAGCAAACGTTGAGCATTTTCGTTCCCTATTTTAGTGATCATTTGATCATCATAAATTATATATCAAGCTTAAAACCTCAAAATTCATCCTGTGAAAACTATTTTGAAATCGGATATTGCGTTACCATGGAAACGATACTTTAAATCTTTTGGCGGTCTCCTCCCCCTAAGTGGGCAGTGTCAAGTGTCATATTCCAAAAAGTATTACGGTCTCTTAGAATCAGAATTTTTTAAATCTTGACAAAATACATATCATTGGAAAGGTCTGAGTTTCATGATTCCATATTTTATTTTGTGATACAAGTAATATTGACAGAAAATTGAGACATTTATGACAGAAAAATGCATCGAAAAAATTCAATGGAGTTTGTATGTCACCCGGTGGCTGTTTGTGATATAACGTCTTAAATAAAATCTCACAGGAACCTCAATTTTTTTATATCAAATTCAAATTTGGAACATAACTTATTTAGACATAAGTCTTTAATTTTAAAGCACGTTTAGAGTAAAACCTGTTATGAGAAATATTTATTTTATATAAAATAAAATAAAAATTAGTACAGTGCATTTTCTTTACAGTAAATGTAAACTTCTACACTAATGAATTGGAAGTCTAGCTCATTCACAGGAAATAGTTTGAAAAATAAGGTGGATTATAAAATAATGTGATTATCTAATAACTCAAATCAAAGTTTTCATTTTTTTATATATATATTGTACAGTCAGTCTCTCATTATTACTTCACATCCAGGTCTTGATCACCCTGTCAGGTTTATTTTGTGTCAGACTGTAGACATAAACAAAGTAAGTGTAAACAACAGCTCTCACTTGTGATTCTTGTGCTCATTCAGAAACGACATTGCACTGATCAAGTTGTCAGAGCCTGTGACACTGAGTGATACTGTTCAGCTGGGCTGCATTCCTCCTGCTGGCTCCATCCTCGAAAACAACTACCCCTGCTATATTACAGGCTGGGGAAGACTCTCCAGTAAGTGCTTGTGCACAAGACCTGATTTAAGAAACCTGATTTTTCTCCATGTTTTAGTGTCCTGGCCGGTGTCCTGCAGAGTTTAGCTCCAACCCCAATTAAACACACCTGAACCAGCTAATCAAGCTCTTACTAGGCATACTAGAAACTTTGTAGCAGGTGTGTTGAGGCAAGTTGGAGCTAAACTCTGCAGGACACCGGCCCTCCAGGACCGAGTTTGGGCACCCCTGGTATAAACCAACATACTGTGGTTGTGTCCCAGCTGGAGGCCCTCTTCCTGATAGATTGCAGCAAGCACTGATGCCCGCTGCGGATCACGCCACCTGCTCCAGGTCTGACTGGTGGGGTTCCACCGTCAAAGAAACCATGGTCTGCGCTGGTGGAGACGGCGTTGTCGCTGGCTGCAATGTGAGTGATGTTATTCTGTCTGTGTTCATTTATATATTATCTTGTGCCACATCATTTGTTAAACATCTATAAGCTGACATTTACAGAGTAACTTTAACACATACATTATCACTCGAGCAAGAGTATTTTTGTTCGGAATTTTCAGACGATTGTGAGTGTAATATTGATTTCATATAGCAGGGCCAATGCAATAAACGAACAGTTAATATTGCGTAACTTACATTTTAGACACAATTTTGCCAGTAACCTTTCTGTTTCGGCTCCGCCAACAAATATCATTCCAAACAAAGCCACAAAAGCAACTGCGTATTGTTTTGCTCCTGAACGAATCGGTTGAAAGAGTGAGACATCTCACTCGAATAAAATGTAATCACCTATTGGCATAAGTTAACCATGTAAACTGCGGAGAGAGTTACTAAAAATAGTATTTGAACGCCGCGCACAGAGCCAGTCAAATTCAAATAGGCTACTGAAACGAATTTTTGTAGCCTATGATAAAAAAAATAAATATATATATATATACAGTGGGTACGGAAAGTATTCAGACCCCCTTAAATTTTTCACTCTTGTAAATTTTTTTTGAACATCCTACAGGGTGACTCTGGCGGTCCCCTGAACTGTAAGAACTCCGGCGGCGTCTGGGAGGTGCATGGTATTGCCAGCTTCGTTTCTGGTTTGGGCTGTAACACTGAGAAGAAGCCTACTGTTTTCACCCGTGTGTCCGCTTTCAATGACTGGATCGACAAGGTATACTACCATGATGCTTTAACAGAAATAATGTATTCAAAACACTGTGTAGCATTTAATGCATACACTCTAAAAAATGCTGGGTTGTTTCAACCCAATGTTGGGTCAAATATGGACTAACCCAACTGTTGGGTTAATAAGCTAATATAAAAATGTAACCAAAATTTAACCCAACAGTTGGGTTAATCCATATTTGACCCAACATTGGGTTGAAACAACCCAGCATTTTTTAGAGTGTAGAGTGCTTGTATGCATGCAGTAAATACTAAAGATTAGATACTAATACAGATCTTTAAGTTCTGTCTCAGGCCATTCTGTTTAACAAATGCTATAAGCCTATTTCCTAAAAGCCTATTAGAGAGACTTAAATGTGATGAATTATACATATGAATAATTAATTGCATATACAGAATATGTTGTTCATTCCTTTTTCTCTCTGCTTATTTAAGGTCATGATGAACAATTAAGATGAACCAAGGATGCCAGCCTTATTTTAATACCAGCAAACCAACCCACCAAGAAAAATAGTAAATAAATACATACTGTCTCAACAAGGGATCTACTTCTTCCATAATTTTTTCCTTTCCCACTCTCCCACACTGATGCAATACAAACTGCCAAATGTTTGCCAGAATATTAATCTAAACCTAAACTTCACTTAACTGAATGAAAACATCTCCAGATTAAGCACCTGAGAGTTTCCATGTTGCATCTATGTTGAACTTGATGAATGCAGCTGATCTGAATGTCAGATACGGTGTTTTAAAGATTCCATTACCACAGAGAACGATAGATCATTTGGCCAAAGGAGGTGAGGCTATCTATGATCGCTTCCTACTCAAGTGTAGGAGGAAGGGATGATAATCATGACCTGCTGACATGCAACAATATCATGTGAAAACAGCACATGGATGATCGGGGATCTGTGGGTTTAAATAAAGAAGTGTGTATTATTGCCAAATTCTCAAACATAATTTAAAGATGATGTTAAATGACTGTCAGCAGTACCGCAGATGTTGATGGAAAATGATCAGATTATAGCTTTTGAGAGTATGTTATACTCATTAATGTGGTTCGAAAATCATTGCATGAATGCTTCTCTGTCCTACCTGGTTTTGCTTCACATGAAACTTGTGAGAAATTCTGAAATTTTTGGTAAGAAGAGTAAGGGGAACAAGGATTGCCTGTTGGCTGTTTTGTGACATGGGGTGTGAAAATAAATCTTTACAATTATTTCTCAATCCTAGTTTTTCTACAAGGCATACACAATTCAAATTAGAGATAGGAAACTCTTTGCTTCTATATATCAAAGCGTCTGACATTCTGAGAGTGAAGTATCTCTCTCTCTCTCTCTCTTTGCTGTTTTCCCTACTTATGGCTTCATGGGGACTTCTGATGGCTCCTGATTTGTTAGTGGTAAACCATAAAGGAAACATTTATAAGCTTCTCTAAATGGCATTCTTCAGGACAAATGTGTTTAATACTGTATTATATCTTTGAAGGAGCACACAAAGATATTTATGGTTCTTGTTCATGTTATAATAAATAAAATATATGTATTTATATAAAATCTTAATACACACACAGGGCTGTAACCACCATACGTTCCCAAAAAATTCAGATTAGTTCTCCATCAATATGGGTTTTTCATTGTCTGATCCCTCAGCTTACATTTACATAGTCCTCCATATAGCCCATCACTGTAAAAAAAAAATCTGTAGTTTTTACAAAATAATTTTGGCAGCTGTGGTTGCCAGAATAATTTTGTAAAAAATACAGAAAAACAGTAAACACATTTACGGCCCAAAACGGTAAATTTTACAGTATAAAACTGTAATTTACAAGCAAGAAAATTTGAATGTAAACCAGTAAATTCAACAATGCACACTGCTATTAAAATCTGTTTAGTACCTTTAACATACTGACAACCACCATAATAATGCAGGTGGTAAAAGAGAAAGCCACATGAAGAATCAAAGCTCATCACAAGTAGCTTCGCCACAAGCAGAAGTATATACTAATATATAGAAGGTGCACAGAGTCATTCATGCAAACACAAAACACCATCATGGTAACACACATGATACTTAAATAATGCATTAAACTTTCATTAAACAACAGAAGATGTAACATAAAGCCCAAATATACATAACTCATAACAAAAACTATTAAAAAAACATGATTATTTAAACAAAATACTTTCAAATGTGGAGTGTCATGCAGGGAATTCTGGGAATATCAGTTTACAGTTTTTGACTAAATTATACATTGATTTGTTATTTTTACTTCTAAAAACTGTAAAATTAACAGCATTTTACTGTAAAATTACATGAAATGTCTGGTTAGATATTTTACCGTTTTCCCTGTATATAGTATGGGAACTTACTGTTAACCTATTAACAGTTTTTTTCCGTAGCGTTTTTACAAAATTTTACAGTTAAAATTACACTTATTTTTTACAGTGTGGTTCTAAACATGGCCTAGGCCCACTACGAGACCTCAATAAACTTTCAAGGGGGCCATTGAATGTCTTACAATTATATAAAATAAAGCTTTTTAAATCAATACTTTTTCAATCATTTTTAGCAGAATAATCTTCAACTTAATCACTATTTGCACTGTACTGCATTAACTCATCTGGAACAACTCGTTCAAGACATCAAGAAAACAGCTTTTGTTTTGTGTGTATTTGGACTGTTTTCTTTCTTTTAAAACAATCACTATATAAATGCTTTTTTTTTTTTACTTTAACCATGCATAATTATTTAAATCAACAACCCTAGTAGCTACATACTGTAAGGAAAGGTAATAACCTGTGTATGGAGACTTTGAATAGATTGGTTTAGCCTCTCCCAAAATCTGGTTACATCTTTGAATATTCAATTGCACATTTGTAAAGCTGACAAAAAGGTATTATCTTTAAACACGAAGCAGTTGTCTACCAGACATACTGTGGCACAGTCTGAGCCTATAATCTCCAGTCAGTGCAGGTACATTCACGTCGCCTGGGATGCTCGCGTTGCTATTGGATTAGAGTTGAACGTTTGCTTTCGTTCTCAGGACAACACAATTGACAACCACGTCTACAGGCTGTGACTGCAGGGACACTGAGCTCCATGTTATGAATAACGCCACAACATCTGCATATTAGCTACACTCGAAAAGTAAGTATTACGTAAGTAAATGACACTGGTGAGATCTCCGAGTCGCTGATGCTTCAAATCAACCCCAATAGTATCCAGCTGCAGCCCCGCAGCACAGCAGTTTCAGAACCACAGCCACAGAACCGCAGCCACAGAACCGGGAGTGAGGGGAGGAGCTTACATTTACATTACATAAACAGAGTAGCGCCACCTTACGGTTTTTAAGGGGTAATATGCTTTTAGTACACACGATACGTCAAAGTTTATGTATGCATTTTATAATGACATATTAAGCATTTTAGAAACATTAATATTGAGTAATTTAGTTGTAGACCTATACAGTTATTTGTTTCATTGTACTATGCGAGTAATTTCCTGTTTGTGATATTAAAAATAATGTTTGAAACTTCTGGGCATTTTATATGAAATATACTTTAATCACAAGATTCAAAATAAACGTTTACTCCAAAGTCAAGAACACGCGCATCATACATTTTTCTATATGAAAACTAAAACATTTCAATAAAACATACACACACAAACAGCAGCATAATTTTAAAAGTAACAATCAAACTGTACACAATAATTAAATAGAGTTTTATAAAATGAACAATTCACTATTAAGCCCATTTTGTCATGACAATCCTGCATGAAAACTTACAAAATTAACAATTCACTCTTGGGCCCATTTTGTTATGAAAATCCTACAAAAATAACTCCCCTGAACACAAGATGAAATATGAAGGGCACTCTGGAAACTTCTGTTCCAGGAGATTGTTGAGGGCCTTTTCCTTGTCCTCTTCCTCCATTATAAGGAAAAGAGGCTCTTCCACTGGCCCCTGAGCAGATGTCTGTTTAATGGAGCCATTTCACAACTTCTGTGAGATTACTGGGATCTCCTTCATTACAGAATATTAGAGGAAAATGTCACTTTAATATTTCTAATTAATGTGTATATAGATAGATTTGAGACATATCTCACAAGCGTAGCCTGTTATCCAATTGGAAGGGCCTCTTGTAGGGTTTCTGCACTGTAATATATATGTATCTTGGTTAATTTCAAATTGGTCAGAAGGGGGTGCAAATGTAATGGTGTGCTGGTGGAAATGTCCAGTACCTTTCAGAGAAAACCATCTGGAGTCCACCATCTCCGTATGATTGGAATGTCACACTGGAAGACACAAACATAGAGAAATCTTTAAATATCAACTGCTACATCATAAAGGTCAATTACTTTAACTGAT